CGTGTGAGTGCTGACATATGATAAGTGTACCATGAAGACCTGTGTTAGAATGGAATGGTGCCCCTGTAGGTGACTGTTAGCGCACTTGCCCTTTAAGCAAGAGATCCGGGTACGAATCCCGTTTAGGGCGAAAGTTTTGTCCACAACCCAGCAGTCTTGTGAAACATGCGCAAGGCGAACTGCGGAAAAGCACAGTAGTTAACGAATAAAAACAAATGGTTCAAAAAATTCTAAATAAATTAAACATTACTATCCTTCCCGTCTAGTGGCATGCCGCACATATGTACATAGTGCAGCGCGTGGTCCGCAATAGGTTAAAAATGTTCCTATTTTTTATCTCGCAAACGAATTGGATAAGAAAATGATGTCCGATGAAGGAAATGCTCAAGACTCTCAAAAACACTGAGCATTTTCAAAGATGGCAGGTTTAGAACACCTTTTCCACATGAAGTATTCTTCCGCTCAATTTCGAAGACAAGACTACTTCTTTATAAAGAAGAAGAGTGCAGCAGATTATTAGTCCAGCATCATGACCATGAATTCGTTCAACCACCTTACTACTCGATTTTTCTTTGTTTATTAGGTTCTATTTAGCCGTCCTTTGTGTGAACAGCTGCCCAAGCTTTGGTGGCTCACGGATTGTTTGTGACGATAATTTTGTCTTGGAGAGCTAGTGGTCAAAGGATTCAGCTCTGATTGATTGCCTTTACTCAGAAATAGCACAACAAATTACATATCTTCATAACGAATTTTGTAAAAAAGAATTGCATGTGAACATTCAGTTCTGTGTGACGTCACAGCGCAGTCCCCAGCAAGTCTGATCGAATGTGAAGCGGAAGTTTTCGCAACCAAACCAACCAGCCTAAATGAAGATATCGTCACAATTTGAACTTCATGGCTTGAAGCCGATCTAAGTATATTCACAGCGTGATCTACAGACGGCTATTTGCAATCCTGTACGCTACAATCTTCTGCAGCGTTTATACTCTGCGTGAAAGGCGATTGGCGAAAACCGCTTGCGCGACCGTTCCAGTACAACGCGAAGGGCCCATTCAAGTAATGGGAAAGCCAAAAGCGAAATTTGGGTATTCAATGCCTGCGTAGCGGTGAGCAGATTGTGCCAAACATCAGTTAACAGTTCCGCATCGCGCGGAGTATAAACCTTGCTTCTGCCTTATTTTTATGATGAGCCGGTTAAGTGAACCTATTACAAAAGAAGTCATAGTCTCAAGGCAGGATTAAGCACTACATTTTTTACGAATCAGGACAAAGGATTCCTTCAAAATTGAAAACTAAAATCATTTTGAGAAGAAAGAAGCGACAAGGGCCATCAGAAGTCTAGCCCCCTGGAAAAAAAATCGGGTGATCCGGCAGAGAACTCAGCAATGGGCTACCGTCCCTATGGCAAGCCATTCTGAAGAGAACGCTGGAAATTACTATTCTCTACCCTCTCTTTCCTATTTGCAGCCCTTGAAATAATAAGTGGGCAGGGCTATCGCGGGGGGGGGGAGCATCATGGGTGCCTGCTTGCGTTTTTCGTGAATAATCTACCATTAGAGAGTTAAGGCTCAGATGCAGCTGTTCACTTTGTTTGTATGTCGATAAGTACGTATTAAGGAAGTGGGCGGAGTCACTTGGTGGGCGGATCTTCTCGGAAAACGCCGCCTGGATGTCATTTGTATGTGTAACTAGCTATGGGTTCTTATATGCTTGAGTTCCCTTGGAAAAAAACCTTTGTTACACTTTTTCCTTTCAGAAAACAAACCCCTTTATCCGCACAGGCGTTGAGATAGGCATCGTTGAGACATTTTCCAGTGTCGTCGACCAGACTGAAAGCAGAATGGACTATGAAAGTGATAAGCACATATCAGAAGCAAAGAATATGCACGTAAACGTTGGTAAACGTATCAGCGCGCGTGCCGCAGCCTTTGCAACAAGCATTCGTGATACCCACAGGAAAACTGTAGAACAAGAGTAAAACTCCCCAGTAGAAATGAAGAAAACGAATTAGAATGCCGTGTTCGAGACGTGATGGAATGCGGACGTGATAGCAGGCAATAGAATTAACAAAAAGTGTAACAGCTGGTGATCAAGAGCGATAAGGACGACGACAGATGACATCAACTGAATGCTACCCAAATTTTTACCTAATCTACTTCTTACAAGATTTTAGTTCAAAGAAATCGTAGAATTGGGGTAGTAAAGTTACAGCAGGTGAGGTGTCCTCTAATGAATAAAATGCGCTTATGATTGGGTATGACTAAATTTGCTGCACCTTCCACGTTCACTGAACTGTGCCACTTCAACAATTGCTCAACTGCAACTCCGTGGCCCCGTTTTATCGAGTTCTTCTAGCTGCCACCTGTAAGGCCGATGTCAGACTTTGCGAATCGCGCGATTCGCTAGCGTCCGCGGTCGCGTTGCGGTACCAGCCAATTGAGTGATTCACTGGCCGCGACGCGACCGCAGACGCTAGCGAATCGCGCGATTCGCAAAGTCTGACATCGGCCTACTCTTGTCCTTGTCGCGTGCCATAGTGTTGTGCTGGGTCGCTTGAGGTTATTCAGTCCTTCAACCCTTCCATTCAAAGCTTCCGTAAAGATCGACCGGCATTCGGCACCCATCAGCGCTTGGCGATTAACAACGTCGTTAGTGGGGCATTTTCTGCCACGACAGCGCCCCATATCGAGCCCAAAAAATACAAAAGCGTAAAATGGGGAGGAATTGACAGCGAGTAATGAAGAAATGCGTCGAGGCCTTGAGCATGAATTGGAGGAGAGTGATCAAAGAAAATTATTGGTATTTCGAATTTACTGGGCTTCTTCCATACCTGCAGAAGTTGGACGGAGCGACGTTATAGGTGAATTTGTTCATGCAATTTTGATATGCGAGAGTAGTCTGTATTCCAGAAAGGCAAGACCATTGGTTTACAACTTCTGAAATATTTTATATGCTATTGTATAAGTAGTTTATTGCCTGTCACTACTGTTGATTGAGATCTAAGAGTGTGAATAGGTTACATTCTGCTTACCTTCAAAGCCAGCATTGCACATGAATTCCAAACCGATGAAGGTTCGGGTATAATCGAAGGCTAAAAGTACTATCAGTATAACTGTGGTGAGAATGAAGGATAAAAGGACAGAGCATTTGCCGTTGATCAATCCCTTTTTGCGGCACGCATTCTACTTCCATTTGTACATTCGTAGTGGCGTTTGAATGCGATGTGGCCTATACAATGACTTGCGGGGGCCAGCCGATGTACAAGTCAGTGTTTTTTATCCTCCCAGACAAGTCTGGTACCAATTAACCGACCCCGGAGGGATGGAAGGCTTGGTTGGCCCGGGCGACTCACGACCCAGGATTTGATCCCCGGACCGCTCGCGTGGTAAGCGTGCCACTTGCCACTACACCACTTCCGCCCTATGGTGAGAATAATGGGCTCCAAAAATACTGCCTCACTTGTGGGCATGGTAAATTGCCATTAGTGAGTAGTGGCGCAGAGCTGCACCGGGACACTTTCCAAGACCGAATCCAAACTTCTGTGTTCCACCACTTCCTCGCCACCTCCCCCCCCCCCCCGACTTGCTCGAGGGGTTTTAAACTGATATAAACACCCTGAAGGAGGATCCCATCATAGGCACGGAAGGGGTCCCATTTCTCGGAATCCGGGCCATTTCTCATGGCTTCTTCATGATCCCGCACCACTGACCACTCTAGTTTAGTTTTCGTGAACTGCATCCCAACCGTAAATTCCGCATTTAAACAGGTCAATGCGTAATGCATCCACGCCTTCAAACACATTCACATTACTATGCCGTCTACTTCAGGTAATGAAGTCGTACTAACTGCAAGAACGCACTCAGGTGATGTGTTGGTGCAGAGCGGGGATCTTCTCGGGGAATGACAGGAAGAGCAGTGCACATGCCCAAAACGGTAGCGGTCACCTCGTCCAGTGTCCTGCCCCTCCACTCGAAGGCAGAGTTCACGACGGAAAGGCAGTTCATATGAAATCAAGGTAGAGCGGCCATAGACATCCATGAAAAAAAAAGACCTGGAAAAACGGCCCACTGCACGAGAAATGCGAGCCGTTCTTTACATGTTACCTTCCGCATTGATGTGACTCTCATTGGTGCCTCCCTCTTCAACGCGGACGCTCTCTCTGCTAAAAGGCTAGAGTCGGACGGTGAATCACCGTCGGTGAGGCGTTATCTGTCAGTAGTGCAGAGGCGCCAATGTCGCAGGTATGGCCGTAGCTGGACCGCTGGGAACATAACCTTCTCCCCCCTCAGGGGACCGCCTGCCTTTCGACCTTTTTTTTATATATTTCCTCTTCCCTGGCCTGCGACTCTATCGGGAAATCCTCATTCAAGAAAATATTATCCATAAGTGTCTCTACTGCTCCCGACACGACGCGAGCATTTTCTTAGCGCGCGTCAAGCGATGGATATAGGTCGATGGTAATGTCGTAGCGATGTACACCCGTGGGAAAATTTCAACTCACCGTTTACGAAGTCGGGATCGGTTGTGTCAAGGATATTGAATAGGTTCATACACGCATAGTATGAGGTACCAAGGCACTGATAAAATTGTGTTCGAGAACTGAAATGAAAACGAATGTTTTCAAACCTTGTGGAATAGTGCATTCTATAGGTTGAGTTCTAGGTAATGTCCGTTTTCAAAAACAGCGCCAACTTTTTCGAAACATGTTTCTGTTGTTCCCGCCAAAGTAGTATGGAGGGACCTCAGCATACTTTTATACCACAAAATTTGACCTCCCTTACTCGTCTCTGGGGAGCAATAATGCCGTACACTTCGACCCATGTTCGACACTGCCTTCTTTAGGCCGATGTCATAGTTTGCGAACCGGCAATGTCGTAGCGATGCATCCGATGCGTCGCTACGACATTGCCGATTCGCTAGCGAATCGCTGGATCCGAGCGTTGCGCCAGCGAATCGAACGTTGCACCAGCGAATCGAACTTTGCGCCAGCGAGTCGAACGATGTACCAGCGAGTCGAACTAGGTACCAGCGACTCAATAGTGGCGGGACCCAACGTTTAAAGGAAGCCCGCCACTTTCAAACAGTGTCCACTGTCAAGTCCCGCCACTTTCAAACAGCGTCCACTGTCACGTGACACTGTTTGAAAGTGGCGGGCTTCCTTTGAACGTTGGGTCCCGCCACTATTGAGTCGCTGGTACATAGTTCGACTCGCTGGCGCAAAGTTCGATTCGCTGGTGCAACGTTCGATTCGCTGGCGCAACGCTCGGATCCAGCGATTCGCTAGCGAATCGCTCGATTCGCAAACTATGACATCGGCCTTACGAGTTCCGTCTGGGACACTCAGCAGGCGAAGCTTACGCAACATATGTGCCGCAGAAGGACCGGACGCGGTAAACGAAAGGACCTGTAGACGTTGGTTCCAGAAGTTCCGTGAAGGCGATTACAGCCTTGAAGACCAACCACGTTCGGGACGCCCAGTGACTGTGGATTTTGATCGGATCGAGGAACTTTTACAAAGCAATCCGAACGCTACTACCCGTCAACTTGCAGCAGACATGCAGTGCTCTCAGACCGCCATGAGCCATTGCCTCCAAGCTATGGGGAAATGTACAAGCTGGGGAGATGGATTCCACACGAACTGAGTGAGGCTGCGCTGCGGACACGTGTGAACATCTGTCAAAGTTTGCTGTCCAGAAGTCGCCGTTTCGACTGGCTCGACAACATCGTCACTGGGGATGAGAAGTGGGTGGTCTACGTAAACCATACACGGAGGCGCCAGTGGGTGGACGCAGATCAACAGCCGATGCCAGTCCCAAAAGGTGAGCTCCATCCGAGGAAGGTCATGCTCTGCGTTTGGTGGAGTGTACGAGGCCTGCATCACTACGAACTTCTGGATGACAACACCACCGTTGACGCAGAGACCTACTGTTTGCAGCTGCGTAGAGTTGCTGCGGAACTCTCAAAACTGCACTATGAGTGAAGTTCTCCTGCTACACGACACCCACATGCGCGCCCACATGTCGCAAAGGAAACTCAGAGGACAATTCAGGAACTTGGCTTCACAGTTCTCCCTCACCCACCGTATTCTCCCGACCTCGCACCAACCGATTACCACTTGTTCCGCTCGCTTGCTCACTTCCTGGAGGACAAGAGATACGATGATCGCGAGCACCTCGAAATGGACCTTCAGTCATTCTTCGCCTCGAAGACAGCAGAGTTCTGGCAGAAAGGAATCCACTCACTGACCAATCGATGGAGTACAGTTGTAGAAAGTTGTGGTAAATATTGCACTTAATAAAGTTGCTTGCAAAGAAAGTTGTATAATTTTGAATATCAGTCCCAGAACCGGACATTACTTAGTACTTCTCGGAGTCGTCGACTTTCAATCAGTAAGCAGCGAATGGCCAAAGGTCTGTCGGAGACTGACAACGATCAAATAAGAGTTTTGATGAAAACAAATTTGCATGGAACTGTTCAACAGGCCGCTTACTAATTAGGCGCAACTCAGCAAATATACAGGTGTCCATAGAACGTCCCGAGAAGTCGACACGTGGCTGCCGCCGACACTTTTTGCTGCAGTTACGCAGCCTCATTTCGCACTTCCAGCCGTGCACAAGTTGAGCTAGCTGAGCTACAAAACTGTGCTGCGAACATCTTGCACAGTAGACCTCTTGCCTACCAACTACCACTTTCCAGCCATCTGGACCAGTCTTTTCGAAGAGATCAAACGCTGAAACCCATCACAAGGTTGAAACGACCTTCGCAAAGTTCTTCGCCTACAGTACTCCAGCACCAACATCCGGATCAATTCTTTTGTGCGAATGTGTGAGGATTGTAACAGTTTTAAAATCGATGAAAGAGGTTATGTATAAATCAAGATATGCGCTTTCGAATATGAGGGTCAAAATCGGCGGATGCTTCTGGACCAAGTCAATATTGTATTATTTCCGGCGAGCTTCTAAGTAAATGCTGTGAATGCATGTTTACAGCTGAGTACCGTAAGATGTACACAAGCTGTGTAAGCCTTAGATTTGTGCGTTCATATAGAAGCTAGACAAACACTTACTTGCAAACCTTAACCAGTTCGGTAGTGTTGACTTGCAGAAGTTGATTAACTTGCTGATTGATGACGGTACCATTTCTCCAATAGAGAGTTGGATCTATTCCGAGTAACTCGTTGAATTGAGCCTGAAGATGGAAGCAGTTCGATTAGAGATAGTGCTTTTGTAAAAGGATTCACGTCGCAATCGCATACTTGCTAATCAGATGCTTCTCCTAGCGCTAAATGTCAGCGAGATCGGCTAGATGATAACTCTTTCTGTGATTAGACCTAGGCAGGCCTTATAATGTCAGCAACTGTCTCTGCATGTTGTTACGCGCACAACTTATTTTTGCGAGAAGCAGTGCGGCCAGAATTTCAAATTGAGAGCGATTTACCACGAATATATCAGGTTGTTGCATTATAAATGTCGCACAGATTTAGTGTCACTCCACTTGGCTGCTTCCGAACATCCGGAGGTACTTGTGCATTCATCAAAAAGAGGAAGTATAAGAGTAATGAAAGGACAACGTTGGCCACATCACTCCGTTTTTTGTATGGATCTTTCCTTTGAATGGTAACCAAAATCGTGGGTGTGTACGTGAATGTTCTATGAAATCTCGAGCGGCTGACAAAGATTGCCCCTCAGGTCGCCATGGCCATTCCATATGAGCTGATTTTAGCAAGCTGATTTCAAATCTGCATTCCAAATCTGCTAAACGATTCTGTGAACGGAGTTATGAAGCCGAAAAGCGCAGCGGCAGCAGTGCGGGCTCTTGAGCAAGGGCTCATGGGATCGGTTCACTGATTTGCTTTTGTGCGCAGCATTCCCGGAACGTATTGTAGCAAGTAAGATGGTTCAGTGAGGTTTCAGAAGCTGTGTCGAGTAAGAATGCATGGTAAATACCAGAAAAATTTATCATTGTAGTGCACTTTGGCATTTGGCGCTGACAACCTTCCCCATTTGTGTGTGCATTACATTTTGACTTAAGCCGTTTGGACACGGTGAGCACCCGAAGTAAGCGTGAATTATGATGTTCCTGCTGTAGTCACGTACAATGCGCGACGCATTGACGCGCTGAAGTGTGTGCTCGCCTCCCACGTTTTCTCTGCGCTCTCTCAACGAAGAGAGAATGCGTCGAGCCTCGCCAACTATACTGAGCGCCGTTCATGTAGGAGGTGGAGGATGGCACGCATGCTAGAGTGACTTCGCGTAGTATGGCGCGGCACCCTAGGATGTCCTTCCTGTCCGCCGCGCCGAAGGCGAACGCTGCGACGCTCATCTATTTTTGGATTGCTGCCCTGGAGAGGGGTAGCCTCATTGTGAGCATAACCTATAGGATTGTTATTGCAGAAATCGCGTCGATGCGACGCGCAATGTACGTGATTGCGGTGGGCAGGAACGTCGTAATTCACGCTTCCTTCGAGTGCTCACCGTGTCCAAACGGCTTGAGTCAAAATGTAATGCACACGCAAATGGGGAAGGTTGTCAGCGCCAAATGCCAAAGTGCACTACAATGATAAATTTTTCTGGTATTTACCATGCATTCTTACTCGACACAGCTTCTGAAACCTCACTGAACCATCTAACTTGCTACAATACGTTCCGGGAATGCTGCGCACAAGAGCAAATCAGTGAACCAAT